AGATGGGAGGAGCAGGACCCTCCATATTATCACTCTGCTGTGGGTTCCAGCAGCCTTCACAAGTGTTTTGCAAGTCCAGATTCTGTCTGGAGGTAAAACCCACCCCACCCCATCTCACGTCAAAAAATCCTTGTTTTCCTCTGGCCCCATGTTTGTGTCCTTTTCCTGGTTCTCCGGAGCTATCTGCTGGTTCTGTCTGCCCTCTGGACCTATTCCCAAGTTCTCAGACTTTAGTAGGTGTTCTTTCCTTGCCCGATTGGTCAATAGGCCCTCAGCTCTTGTCATCAGCTGCCACATATCCTAATGACCACAAGCTAACTCTTCAGAGCCTTTTGGTAAAAAGTCCTTAAAGGCTTTGGCACTTGCTTCCATATTGCCAGCAGCTGTATTTCCACCAGTGGGTCCCAAGGGCTATTTCTCAAGTTTTGGCTGCCTAACACGAACACTTGGAGGGGAAGGAGGCAATATTTGAGTTTGGGCCTCACTTTCACTATGAAAGCCAAAGGGGCTAGCTATCTTCTCACCTCTGGCAGCTGGGCCAGATATCAGACTTGGCCAGTCAGATGCTCCTACATGAGATGTAAAGAAAATGACAGCCCTAACTGGTTTGGCTCAGTGGATAGAGCATCGGCCTGCAGATTCAAGGGTCCCGGGTTCGATTCTGGTCAAGGGCATGTACCTCGGTTGCGGGCACATCCCCAGTGGGTTGTGTGCAGGAGGCAGCTGATCGATGTTTCTCTCTCCCTCTCCGAAATCAATAAAATATTTTTTAAAAATATGGAAGAAAAACCATTCACTGAGAAAAATTGTTAAAAAGAAAATGACAGCCCTAGCTTGTTTGGCTTAGTGGATAGTGTCACCTGTGGACTGAAGGGTCCCAGGTTCAATTCTGATCAAGGGCACTGCCTGGGTTGCGGGCTCCATCCTCAGTAGGGAGCTTGCAAGAGGCAGCCAATCGCCCTGACTGGTTTGGCTCAGTGGATAGAGCATTGGCCTGCGGACTGAAAGGTCCCAGGTTCGATTCCGGTCAAGGGCATGTACCTTGGTTACGGGCACATCCCCAGTGGGGGGTGTGCAGGGGGCAGCTGATCGATGTTTCTAACTCTCTATCCCTCTCCCTTCCTCTCTTTAAGAAATCAATAAAATATATTAAAAAAAAAAAAAAGAGGCAGCCAATACCTCTTTAAGAACAGGATTCCAATCCAGGCTCACTGCTAGAAGCCAGGGCCGAGGTGCTCCACTCGTGAAAGAAACTGAAACAAAACAGAAACCCAAATGGCCTTGGGGTCCGAAGCTTGCAGCTGGGTGATGGGTGCCAGAGCCACGGGCCTTCGAGAACCCAGCCAGGCTGCATCTGGACCTCCAACATCCCCAGCATCAACAGGGGGCACAAACCCCTGATGTGACTAAGCACCTGGGTTAGCCTGGGCTCTAGAAAAAGCAACACAGAACTGCTGGATATTGCGGGCACATCCCCAGTGGGTTGTGTGCAGGAGGCAGCTGATCGATGTTTCTCTCTCCCTCTCCGAAATCAATAAAATATTTTTTAAAAATATGGAAGAAAAACCATTCACTGAGAAAAATTGGGGGAGACTAGTGATTATCCTCTGGGAAGCCTGCATGTCTTGGTGAGCTATGATTATTCAGTGTTCACCTAAGCTCTACATTTCTTCTATGGTTTTCTGAAATGAAAGGTTTAAAACAGGGGTCCGCAAACTACGGCCCGCCGGGTGTTTTTGCCGCCGCTGTGTGCATAGGAATTTGTTCATAGTTGTTTTTTAAACTATAGTCCGGCCCTCCAACAGTCTGAGGGACAGTGAACTGGCCCCGTTTAAAAAGTTTGTGAGGACCCCTGGCTTTAAAAACTCCCTTTCTTGATCTCAAGTAATGGCTATACAGGGGTGTTTATGTTAATAATTGAAGCTGCACACTTAAATACTAATAATTTATATACTTTTCTGCCTATTAGCACAGACACTCCCAACTGACAATGTTCAACTTTTGATTTTTCAACTAAATAATGGTGCAGAGGTGATTCCCATTCAGTAGAAAGGCTAGCAAGATGTAGTACAATACTCTCTCATGATGCTGGGCAGTGTCAGTGGGCCACAGCTCCAAGTCAGTCCCAAAACCCCAAGGGTAAACAACTGATACTCTACAGTGTACTGTGTTGCCAGGGTGTTTTGGGATAGTTTTTTGCATTCCATCATGTCTACAAAATGCCCACCTGTATCTCCTGCTTTGTGAGAAGAGGAAGGTAATTACTCTTGAGATGAATACTGATGGTAACTGCCCAACTGTAAAATATAGTGTTCTGAGCACACTTTAAAGTAAGCTAGGCTGATTTGGTGGCTAGGTTCACTGAAGGCATTTTTGACCTACGGTATTTTCAATAACTGATGGTTACTGCCCAACTATAAAATAGTGTTCTGAGCACACTTTAAAGCAAGCTAGGCTGATCTGGTGGCTAAGTTCACTGAAGGCATTTTTGACCTACGGTATTTTCAATTTATGGGTTAATCTGGATATAACACTATCTTAAGTCAAGGAGCAGCTGTTCTTCAATAAGTTTATTTTTCTCTTCCCAAGCTGCTACTTGGGTGCACATTTGTCATAGCGCCACCTGGTGGTAAGTTAACAGCACTATTAAACGCTACAGACTAATTTCCAATTTTAGTAGACTGAGATTTGCAGAAAACTTTACATATTTTTTACTATTGATTTTAGAGAAAGGGGGAGAGAAAGGGAGACATCAATGTAAGGAAGAAACACTGATCAGTTGCCTCCCACACACACCCTTACCCTCTGGTGCATGGGACAACGCACCAACCAAGCCAGATCACCTAATCTAATATACAAAGACCTGTGACTGGCTGTGTCAATATGAGATGCTAAGATCCTAGGTGACCAGGATTGTCATAACCTGTTGCCAGCACCCAGACCTTTGGATGCTCACATTGTTAACTAATTTCTCTTAAAAAAAAAAAAATCCCCTCACAACCGAATTACACAAATCCAGAAGTACAGAAATAAAGCACCTTAGCTCAATTCAAACAGTAACATTTCCAGTAAAACTGCAAAATGCCAATAACTTTACATACAAGAGATAAAGCCTTATAGAGGGGAATATCTCTATTAATGAGATGTGGTCTCAATTCCATCAATATTGACAAAACCAGTAAGATATTAGTCTAGACAAAGTCGATATAAACATCAAAGGTTCTTTTAAAAAGTGAGGGGAGGCCCAAAGATACATTTGTCAGTGCACACACTCCTAACATAATTCACTAATTCACTCAAACATTAGGCCCTTACCACGTGCCAAGCAGTATAACCACAATGTGCAGCTGTCTGTACATGTGTAACTTATAGTCTAGTCGGAAAGACAACCAAATAATCAGAGTACGCTAGGCGGCCTGTGGAGCCAGGTTATCTCACAGTCAGACCTCACCACCAGGACGGTGTGGCTACCAGACTTGGCCTTCCAGGCCCATGACAGTTGTCATCAGAAAGGAAAGTCCCCGCTCTGTGATAAATCAATCTAGTTATGAGTCTTGTAGAATTATCAAGTCTGCCCCTCATTAGTTTCACCTAAGTATAACAAGAGCACCAATTACTTATAAATAGCAATAGAAAACACTTCCAAATATGATAAAACAGGAGACAATTTTAAATATTCTTTATATCTGTGCTTCAAGCTCTTCATCACTAGCACTAATTCCACTTACACTTTAGAGATGTTGAGAATTAAATTAAAAAGTATGTGAAGCACAACATCCAGAGCCTAGCATAACCCAAAATATAATGATCAATATATTTATTTTCTATGTGCAATGTAGATTTCCTTATGCACTAGGAAAAAAATAGTCTTCAATATTATCCCTCTTCTAAACCTAACCCTAACAGATGAGTTAATCAAGGTGCCGTCAAACCTTAGTGTCACTACCCCCAACAGGTTATCTCTCTGGTTAGCTCTGCTTGGGTCCTCCTGGCCCTTGTCTCACAAGTACAGTCAAAACCAAGAGGATTTCAGTGAAAGCGTAAGCATCATGAGCCAGGCAGCCCTAAAAACCAACCAAGTAATGCTCTGATGAGGTGACATGACCCTCAGTCTGAATACTGGATGTACAGTCTAAGTCAGGCCATGCATCTTTTAAAAAGATTTTATTAAAGGTCTTTATAGAGCAACATCCAGACTCCAGATCCAGCTGCCAAGGAGACCCTAAAACCAAACAAAGCACAACAGTAAGAACAGAAATTTCATCTGAGTATCGGGTTCTTTCATTTACCAAATGGGTATATACACTCCCACTGAGGGTTTGCATGAAGACTAATAAACACAAAGAACTTTTAGGGGAAAAAAAAAAAACACCACAGGTGTTCTTTGTAAGGGGGTTGCTGAAGGATAATAGCTTAGTGCCTTGAAATTTTTGAGTAAAAAGGGACAATAAAAAAGATTTTATAAACGTCTTTATAGAGCAACATCCAGACTCCAGATCCAGCTGCCAAGGAGACCCTAAAATCAAACAAAGCACAACAGTAAGAACAGAAATTTCATCTGAGTATCGGGTTCTTTCATTTACCAAATTGGTATATACACTCCCACTGAGGGTTTGCATGAAGACTAATAAACACAAAGAACTTTTAGGGGAAAAAAAAACACCACAGGTGTTCTTTGTAAGGGGGTTGCTGAAGGATAATAGCTTATTACTAGCAAGAGTGCCTTGAAATTTTTGAGTAAAAAAGGACAATAGAGGGAAATTCCTATTTCAAACACCGTAGTAATCAGGAATTTAAGAGACCAAGTCCAAACACCCCTCCCAAAAGAATCCTGGGTTGAAATTAAAAGGGCCCCTGGCTTTAACCAGCATTCTTCCATGTAAATTAAGTGCACTCCAATTATTATTCACCAAATGCTTACCACAGTGTGCAGAAGTAGTAGTAACAGGGAGACAAAGGAACAGGGTCCCATTCCGCCCAAGGGGCTGCTAGAGACATACCTGTTATGCTGTGGGTACTGGCTGGGGCATGGCAGGCGGCTCTGGCTTTCCACCCTTCTGTTCCGAGATGGGGGTGGTGGGCAGTATCTCGTCTTTGGGCTCCACAATGCTCACGTGGTCAGGCAGGGGCTTCTTAGGGCCTATCTTACCACTTGGGTCCCAAGGAAGCATGATCTTCACTTTGATGCCCAGCACACCTAAAGGACAGTTAGGACCATGGTTAGGACCTGCCTGTGGTATCACCGGCCCCCACAACACAATAGGACAGGGCAGAGGAAGAGAACAGTAAGTTACTCAAGTATCCCTGGTTCTGGTCCCTTCTCAGACAAATGCCTCTAGTCAACCAATGAATAGGACACTTTTGCAAAAGGAACCTATGCAGTGCCACAGAACATGGCACTGACAAGGACCAAGAGCAGGATGTGACCTTTCTGACTCGTCATCATGTCATCACTGAAGGGTACACAGGTGGCTGAGACAAGGACAAACCAACCCTTGGATCTGACTGATCTCAACAATTCACTTCTTCCAATTCAGTGCAGCAAATCAATAAGCCCAAGGAGTACTAACACGCTCTGCTACTCTGAAAATGAATTCTCTAAACACCAAGGTGTGCATGGAAAACCACATCTATTCACTAAGACCCTTTGCCCTAAGAGCTACCAACTGCTCACCTTGCCTGAGCAGCACATGGCGCACGGCAGTGTCAACATAGTAGTTAACAGGGTCCCCACTGTGGATCATCAGACCATCAACAAACTTCATGGACTTAGCCCTCTGTCCTCGGAGTTTCCCAGACACCACAACCTCACAGCCTTTGGCCCCACTCTCCATGATGAACCGAAGCACTCCATAGCAGGCCCTTTGGGAAAACAAGAGACAGATATCCTTTGTGTTATCACCAAAGATAGAATCACCCAATCCCACCTCATGTTTAAAAAACATGTAAGACTTACTAAGTCTTCCCTGTTGTCAATGTCCCTTTAAAGGAACACCGCCCCGCCCCCCCATGCCAGGTGAATTAAGTTGGCAATCTGGGGAACTGGGAGTGGTAAAGCTCAGTAACAAGTATTTAAAAACAAATAAAAGAAATCCCAAGTGAGTCTAATGTGCAACCAAAGTTGAGACCCACAAATAAGATTTAAAAAAAAAGGTTGAGGCCCACACTCAATCTTATGATTATCAAGTTGACACCCCGCCCCCATCACTCTGAAGCAAACCTTTCCAGTCCAGTCCCTCTGCCAACTCAGGCAAGCCATCAGTGAGAACCCAGAAGTACCCAATCACTAAGTGACCCCCTTAAGGCTTACTGAAACATTCCTCAACCTCCAGAATTCATGCTCATTAGGCACCCTATCGGTTTAGGATCCTAGCTGCCTTGACTATTATTAGCACACTGGAAAAGCGTATCTAGGTCTATATAATTGATAGTAAGCCTTAAAAAATATCATGGCCCCCCCCCCCACACACACACTTTATTCATTTAGATAATAATTGGAGCTAGCTGCAACTTTCAACAGGAAAGTAAAGAGCAGACCCACCACCATGCCCCACACCCTGTCATATAATCTCATTTAATCCTCACAAAAAAAGGGTGGTGGTATAATGATTCCCATTTAGAGACAGGAGACCCAAGGGTCTGAGTTCAGTAAGCTGCTCTGGTCTCAGAACTTTCAAGTCAAACTTCAATGCAAAAGTCACCTGGAAGGCTTGTTCAGACAGCCTAGCTGGGCTACACTCCCACTTGCCAAGTCAGTGGGTCTAGGTGGGGACTGAGAATTTTTTCTAACAAGTCCTCAGATGATGGTGTTGATGCTGGCCCAGGGACCAAATTTTGAGAATCACTTTTTATTGCCTGAGCAGCAATATAGACCTGGCATTCAAACCAGGTGGGCAGTCTTCTACATGTCCTTGCCTATATAGCCTTTCCTACCCATCCCAACATCAACCTGCAGGCAGCGCAGCCCTTGTGTCCTTCCTCTGCTGGAAAACCTCCTGGGGCTCTGCTGCAGCCCATCACTCCTCACATTACTATCTATGTACAGAGCTCGCTTCCATGTGCGCTGTCTTATCTTCTAGTCCCCAGAAGAATTAACACATGATGGAACTGAGCGACTTCAACAGGAAGCCCAACCTTCCCTCTCTGAGTTCTATTTTTGTTTTACTCCCCGGGCATTCAGAACAGTTCTCCATTATAACACTGATCATTCCTTCAAAAATTTGCTTCTTGCCCAGCCAGCATGGCTCAGTGGTTGAACATCAACCTATGAACCAGAGATCACGATTTGATTCCTGGTCAGGGCATATGCCTAGATTTTGGACTGATCCCCGGTGGGTGGTGTGCAGGCCAATCAATGATTCTCTCTCATCATTGATGTTTCTATCTCTCCCTCTCCCTTCCTCTCTGAAATCAATTAAAAAACATATTTTTTAAAAAAAGACTTGCTTCTTTACTAGTTTTTCCTGCTACACTGCCAGTTCAACAAGGACATGGAGCCTTAGCCGGTTTGGCTCAGTGGATAGAGCGAGGGCCTGCGGACTGAAAGGTCCTAGGTTCAATCCCGGTCAAGGGTACATCTCTGGGTTGCGGGCTTGATCCCCCCGGGGGAGGGGGGGGCATGCAGGAGGCAGCTGATCAATGATTCTCTCATCATTGATGTTTCTATCTCTCCCTCTCCCTTCCTCTCTGAAATCAATAAAAATATATTTAAAAAAAATACAAGGACATGGATTGGAAATATCCTGCCATGCAGAGTTCATTTGCTGAATTAATAAAATGGCAAACACACCATATTCTGATCCACAAAAAGGGGATACGTACTCACCTCCGCACAGCAAGGCCCCCTAGGAGTTTGTAACGCAGAGACTCTGCCTGGGCAATGGCACACAGACCTCTTGTGGCCACCTTTTCAGCATAAAGCTTGAAGAAAGAAACAAATACATATCACTATAGCATCCCTTACTACTCCCCACACCTAGCACACACTCAGTGACATGCACTGAACCATTCCTCATTGCCCTCGCATCCCTAGCTCTTCCTACAGCCACACCAAGGAGACCGATGGGCACCCGATCCATCATGTGTATCGTTACCACTCAAGGTGGATGTAAAATTCCTTCACCACCAGAACTGAGCAGAACAGGCCTGTAAAATTAAGCTTACTACTTATTATGAGATCTTCAACAAAATACCAACCCATTTGTAATATTCAGTGAGCATGAATAAACAGTCTTCAGTGAGAGAAGGGTTTTTAGAAGTGCCATCCCAAAGAGCCATTTCCAGGCCCACAGTCACCACGGACCTAGGCCAGATCACTCACCTCCACACTGCCCTCAGGGAAGCCAAACCTCTTCTGAACCACGGCAGTCAATTCCCGGATGCGTCGGCCCTTCTCACCAAGAACATTCTGCGTCCTGGGAAAGCAAAAAGCGGCAATTCACAGCTCTCACAAGGTTCCACATGTAACCTCAAATCTCCCATCTGCGTAGCAGTAAAACCTCATTCATCAACAAGCAAGAAGAAAGTGTGGGTGAAGGGAACTATTAGATTTTGAAAATGCAGTTCACAAAAGCCAATTATTGCACTCCCTAAGGCCAAATGTACTGGCTGTCCCCTTAAGCTTCCAGACCAAAACCACCTCAGTCTATGCAACATAAACGACTTTTTACCTGGTGGCCAAAATAATAATCTCTGTCCTGTTTGGCGTAACGCGGACCTCGACTCCAGAGTAGCCATCTTCGGCCAGCTCCCGGGTGAGAAACTCGTTCAGTTCGGCTTTGAAGATGCCATCAGCAACAAACTAACAGAAAAACAAAACAAAAACAGAATTCAAAGTTAGGGCGTGGGTGCAGGTTCACTTTTCCCCGCCTGATCTTTCAGCCAATGCAACCCTCGTCCAAACTCAACCGGTCCAACAAACGGCCCCTCACCCAGCGTCCTGCCCTGGTTCCGAAAGGGAGGGAGCAAGCCCTTCTCAGACAAATGCCTCTTGGTCATCGTCTGGTGGCGACTCTGACCCGGGGCCCTGACCACGGCGCCGCAGGACGCAGCTCCGAGCAGGGGCCACCTGGACAGCAACACCCCAGTCAGACTCGTCATCGTCTCCTCATCGAAGGGCTCTCAGGACCGTCGTTCGCACGTACACGTGCCCAACAACAACTGCGCTAACCGGGCCCGTTTAGGACTCATTCATTCATCGCACAGCCGGGGCCCCAACAGGGACGGCTCGGACCACAGAGGCGGGACCCGGCCCCGCGCTCTCGCCTGGCCGGTGTGGCCGTCTCCCAGAGGGTGCAATTCACAAAAGCGTGTGGATGTCGTTTGAACGTGGACGTAGTGTCTACGAAAAATGACCAACTTCTACAACAAACGGGCTGGAGAGCCCTTCCAGTGGGAAAGCGAAAAGGGCCACGAGGGCGCGCTCTCCCGCGGTCCCCTCCCTCCGCTGGCCCACGGCTTCTCCCCGGAGTAATCAGCCGTCAGCAGCCCGTGCAGCTCAAGCATTTAGGGCCCGAAGGCGGCACCCAGACACGACTAGGAAGGCCAGACGCCCGCCCCTTCCCAAAGCCACGCTGTTAAGATCTGAAGCGAACGGCTCGGCTCACTCTCCAGACACCACGCGTTCACTCATCGTTATTTGTTGGCCAAGAGATGCTCGCACGCGCCTTCTCCGGGGCAGGAGAGGAGCCCGGTGCTCATCTCTACTCTCCGCCCCGAACCGGCGGAAATCGTCTCCCTTTCCCCGC